GAAAATTCGTTCTTCGAAATGAAGAAGTGAAACTCCTTCCTCAGCCCAAACATTGGACAAGTTTTCAAAACCACCTGAGGCTATGATGATCGTCGTATTTAAATCTGACTGGATAGTGTCATCGCTAGGGATGATGGAGCCTATATATTTAAACTGGTCCACTTCCTGAGAGGCCTTACCTCGCTGTTTAACCTGTGGATCAGCTGTGCCGGATCGGTTTCTCACAAATTTTCACTTCCTGGTGTTAAGAAAGAGACCGGCCTTCGCGGCTGTGATGCATGCGGATGCCGTCAGGTGACAGCGCCCCGTCCTTGCGTTGCTTACTAGGACAATGTCGTGTGCGTGCCTCACGTCAGCAACACATCTAGCTGGATTTATTGAATTGCGCCTTTCGTCATGAATAGCACTTTCGTGTTTGCCACGGTCAGCACTGTTTCAGAGAAGAAAATCAAGAGCAATGTTGAATAGCTAAGGCGAAGCCCATTTCCGTGACGAACTCCGTCGTTAACAGATAACCATTCTGAGAGTTCTCCTTCAACTTTGACAGTAGACATGGCTCCTGCATGCATTTCTTTCAAAATGGAAACGAGGTGAATATAAAATATTAAACGTGAACGTACAAACCAATACCTCGGGGCCACTGCCGTAAAGCATAGAGAGATCGCACTTCGTCCCTGATTTTTACATGCCATCTCGTAAGTTGTTTCTTTGAAGTTACAGTAGTTCGGTTAGTAGTACCTAGGGCTCGCATATTAGCGATTTCAGGATCAAATCGCAGGCAGCGCATTCGTCTATCATTTGTTAGAGATTGATGAGCAAGCATAATTAAGCCAATTTGCAGACTCACATTAAATTCGTGCCGATTTGAACTGAGATAAAGTTGGAGCCTACACGTTGTACTCTGTCATTTAGCCGCAAATATTGCTGTCATGAATAAGTTATTACTGGCTGATTGCATCGAAACGGCTAGCAACGTTGGTTGCACCATGAGATCCACAGAAAGTGTATCATAAAATATTTATCCGTTTATTTACGCACAATTTATGGGGTAGTTCAAGGAAAATTGCAGTCGTAAAGCACACGCATCAGATAAAATGTTCGTTCTGGTATGACCGTATCAGAGCACCACGCTCTTCCCATTGCTTGCAGATCACCGAATTGCCATGAATTTCTTGACTGATTGCACTGAAACACAATGAAATGAACGTTTTGCTCAAAGCAATGCGATTAGTAAAAAACACGCTTCACGCCGTTCAAGTGACTCGGAATCGGAACCTGCACTACAACCCATTACGACAGTACACTCTGCCCCCCTCCCCTCACCTCCCCCATGCACCGTTCATGACGTTTAAGCAGGCATGACTTCATAGGAATTGAAAACTTTCTTCTCCTCGTTGCCTGTTATCTGCGACCTGGGTGAGAAACTAGCTTAATAGCGAGAATCTAAACAGGGTGTAAGTAGGAACTGACGCTTACGTGTGTTAAACCTACACGCTATGTTGAAAACAGCTAACAAATAGTTAGAAATCGACGCCTCACTGCTCTCCCTCATGACTTACCACCACGAAGTTTTTCCTGACTGTAAAAAGCGCCATTTGACCCGACACCACCTAGTCATTGAAATTTGCACTGCCAGCGATTGTACTTTTGTGGATGAGACCGATGAGGAAAGTACAGTTGGAATCTTTTGTAGACCAATCTCTCCTCTCGTACGCTTTCATGGACTGTAGCACCCTCTTCTCATATAGAGCTCATAGCGTGGCATTAGTCTTCGTCACAGTGCTACGTTTTTAACGGCAATACCTAAAGTTTGATGTTAGGCCACGGCAGCTTACCTCCTCCCGACAGTGAGTGTACGCATTTATCTGTTTCAGAAGAATTACAGTCGATCTGCCTGGCCGTGACTCATTCTCGCTCGTTTGATTGCGAGTTCGACTGCGCTACCATAGAAAAGACAACCTGACAGAGTTTGAGCATTTTCGAAATTCTTGCCCGTTTAGTACTGCTAGCAGAAGCGGGTAGCAACAGTCATCGACGGCAAATACAAAACAAATGTTAGGGTTAGATTTGGAAGCGTTACCACAGCAGTTCCAACAGAACATTTTTTAAATTCCTGCCAAAAGAGTGCATGATTACAGAGCAATTTTTTCATGTTCGGGTAAAAATATAACATGCACCTAGTTTTATGTTAGAAGAAAACGTTTCGAAGTACAGACTGTTTTGACTTCACCTTTAAGCATCATACATTTGCATAATAATTCAAAACTAAACGCCTTTTTGGTGAGGTCGTAAAATCAATACTGAATAGGCGCGCATCAGAGGTCTATAACTTTTCGATTTGCGAAACTCTGACTATCTATCAGGCGGACAACTAACGTTGAACGTAAATTTAATTGCTGCATAATTAATTTACGAGATGGCAGCGAAACGCGTCGTTCGCTAACAAGTTTGAGCTCACCCCTGCTCGATACGGAACTTGTAAACAAATTCATGACACAAGCGCCTGTGGATTCGTTAGTGCTTTA